CTTGTATGTATGTATGTATTTATGTATCCATAATATATATATATATATATATGTGTGTGTGTGTTTGTGTGTGTGTAGAGTGGTATAGCCATAATAAATTACTTCTATTTTTTAATACACTCATGTATGCATTTCTATAGAATAGCTCCAAACTAAAAAAAATGCATGTGCCTAAACATAGTTGTTCTCTATCATACCTGTAACAACGCTGCTCTGAGCGTAGAAACAAAAGCTGGTCGTTTTAGTGCCAAGAAGCGAAGGCCACCTAGCAACCGCTCTGCTGTGAGGAGAGCGAACATTTTTTTAACACGTGCTATGTCTGGTAGTACACTTGGTTGCATGCGTTTATGTATGTATGCGAGTACAATCACCCCCTGATATTTAGTAGAATATATACGAACCCATAATAAAATAGCCACCTAAAATAATTACATAGGACACGGAGGCTATGATAAAATCTGAATAAGGAACCCTAGAGTAGTGATACCCTAGAATTACCAAATAAGGATCCGCGGTAGATCTATTATCTCTGGTCAGCTGGTGGCGGTCCGGCGACCTTTGCAGAGGGCCATGAATCCACATCATGATATACTCATATATTTACAATGTTCATTTTAGAAGGCCATGTATTGTTATATAAAACATACATGTCTATTGTTTCAGGTATAAAGCGACCAACGAGTCTATTAGAGTCCATGACTGTCCCTTGGTTTCCAATATCTTGGAGATAACTCTCACCGTACGTTGCATTCTTGCCCGCATTTGTAGTGAACAAGGCAAAGGATGCACATACCTACACGGTAGATAGCAAAGTACACGGGCATCAGCAAACAGTGGTCACCGCAATATATCATATAGTGCGATGATTACTTAGTTGACATTGTTTCAGGACGAAAATTGAGTGTGTGTCCTGTATAGTAGAATAGATAGTCGCGTTGCAGATGTATGCACTTCCGTACACTCCAGACTGGCACACGAACACTGAGAGTTCATTGTGCTTTGCAAGGAGCACCCGGTAATGGGTACGTGGGATTCGCTGACATTTGATGTTTCTTATTTACTAGGTATAGGGTTCGTAGGTCAGTATAACTTTGATATGCCGCTTCAGATCAAATGGCTAATATTTAGTGAGATCCGCCAGTCTGTCAGTCAATAAGCAGTACTTGTTTAGGACTTCTCGAATGTATCCGTAGTCGAATAGATATAAAGGTACAAATATACAAAGGTACACAAAAGTGATCTACAAAGGCAAATGATATTCATATGACTTATACACATGGTGATGGTGTTCACAGATAAGAAATTGAGCGGCGCTGGACCTTGTTGAGAAAGTTCTGACCGTCTGGGTATATAATCGTTTACTGACACTCATACGCCACCCTAGGCGTGGCATTCAGTTTATTTGAATTTGCATGTGTGTAACTGGCTGGTCTAAAATCGCACGAGGAGTGCTTGCCAACGCAATCTGAATATATTTAGAACGATAGCTCAATCGACCACCAGTTCATGCATGTATGCCTTCATGCAAATGTATTTATTTACACACATAAACATCCCACCTAGTTTCTCCTGGAAACTGACTTATGCTTTCATGCATATAGTATTTATTTACACACATCAACATCCCACCTAGTTTCGCTTGGAAACTGACTGATGGCGTTCTGTACTAAGCTTTGCTGTTCTCGTACTACGGGGCACACACTTAAAAGCCAAAACATGATATCAACGTTTGAATGTTTCAGATAGGTTTGAAATGCGCCGAATGACATTGTCGATACCTGAATCACCATGGAGAGATTGTCTCATACTCTAACCTCCACCACGGACTCGATCTATCGGATGAAATATAGTGACCAACCATGACTTGCGCCCAGGCAAGATAATATGTTTACAAGAACAAAAGAAGCTCGCGAAGCCAGAAACCTCAAGGGCCGAGATTACATTATTTCTAAGAGGTTTAATCATGTGAAATAGCTTGTCTAGTGCAAGAGATCATGATATTTCTAAGAGGTTTAATCATATTAAATGGCTTGTCCAGTTCGAGAGATTACGTTATTGCTAAGAGGTTTAATATTATTAAATGGCTTGCCTAGTTCGTATGGTATACAAGATAGTTCTCGAACAAGGCGGCGCGATTCTGTGCGTTGCTTTTCTTGACCCAGTGGGCGTATATCCTGCAGTGCATGTTCGGATGGGCGAGAGAATGGATGAACGGATGACAAAGAAGAAAAATGCCACAGAACCCGGTGGGTCTAGCAGGTTTCGGCTTAGGGCACCGACGTATATGTACTTCGGGCCCAAGATTGGTATATCTGACACAGCTGGAATAGCTATGGCAGAAATACGAGTGCCACGCACCACCATAGAGGTGTTGTGGTTGGTTGTATCCAGGTCAATTGCTACAGACAGTGTGGCAATACATGACGGCTCAGGCACCCAACACTTGACTGTTCTTGGGTTATGTTCTAGTTCTATGTTGGGTTTTAGTTATGGTCTAGTTCGCGCAACAATAACTAAGAACTGCAACGCAGAGGTGCGTTTGTGTCCCTTTCTTTCTCGTCTGGGCTGGGATGGCAGCTCCTTCGGTGCTGTATTGGGAGGCCGCTTGCCATAGAATAAGGTCAGATTGTGCCGTGATATAGACGGCCTATGCAGTAAGCTTTCATCAGGCATACTCCTCACCCCTAACGCCCCCCCCCCACCTTACACACACATACACACACACAGTCACACAGTCAACAAACGCTCTGCGTAGGACCCACGCTGTTGTTCCCGCGAAAAAACACAGCCCCATCCATCGCACAGGCCCAACGCCTCGACCAACAGAACATACCGGAACGCGCACTCGTCGATGGCTTTCCTTACTCTGGGTTCTTTGTACATGCTATCTGTGACACTCACAGGGTACTGCCCTGCAGTGAGACTAAAGGCACGGCCAGCCGACATGCTCGTCTGTGGGTGCAGAGAGGTGGATTAGTGAAGCGATGGTAGATACCAGGGGTGGTGGATGGTGGGTGTTAGCATGTATTCGGGAAGGGGAGGGGATAGAGACTTGGTTTGCGATAGTCGATCCGATGATACAGACAAAAAGTTCGGTGCATCAGCAGGAGCTAATGAGGTGATGGGATGCTTGGGGTGTATAGACACTACAAACTATATATAGGGCCGTTGCAGTAGACAGTATAAACTGTGCTATAGCATACGCTAGTGGGCGAATGGGACTTGGTTTACAAACATGTGTGCAACATACCCACGAGCATATGGATGGATGAAACACAGACCGACAACGTTGAAGCACATTGAACGCGTTAAGAGCAGGTGACGAGGCTAAGCAGAGTGCTATTGATGTGGCGTCAATGGCCACTGATTCACACGATACGCATTGGAACACACTGACTCCAATGAGCGTTGAACGAACAGAGCGAAGCTGTTCATATGTCTCCAGCAATCGGCAACGCGTGACTCTGGCCCACTCCACCCACTAGAGAATGGGACACCACCCACAAATATGATATCACCTGCATATCATTTTTGATAAAACCTACATAACACATATGATGTAACCTGCATAACACTTGATATAACCTACACAACACATATGATATGATCTACATAACACATATGATATAACCCACATAACACATGATATAACCTACACAGCACATATGATAAGACCTACATGACACATGTGATATAACCTACATAACACATATGCTATAATCTATAACACATAATACAAACTATCTAGCACATATGATATACCCTACATAACACATATGATATAACTTACACATCATATATGATATGACATAGCACATATCATATAACCTACATATCATATATGATATAACCTACATAACACATATGACATACCCTATATAACACACATACCCTACATACCTGTGAACCACTAGCCAACACTTGCTCCGGCCCCTCTATTTGCTCCGCACTCGTCATACCCTCTTCCTCGGTCTCGGAGTAATCTATGGCATTCTTGATGGTGCTCTTGAACCTATTGACCGCCATGACTGCCAGTGCTGCGATCTTCAGTCGACTGGTCACCCGGGGTAGGCCTGGTACCGAACTTTCCAAAGCGGAAACCATCCACGGGTGACCTATGGCCTGAGAGAGTGGGAGCCGTACGATGTGCGGTTTGTGTGTCAGCAGAGTAGTACGGTATGTGTATTGTGGTCCAGGTGTTGTAATGGCCCGCGGATAGAATAGGGTGTGAACACGCACAAGTGTATGTTATTTCTTCCTATCCCGAGACACACACGTTTATGCTTCCAGCAGTGCCCAGCGCGTAAGTTCGGTGTCTATGCCCAGATACACACGCTGTGGATCTCACGGGGCCATACACGCAATACGGTACAGACAGGAATGAACGCTACTGATGTGCACGTGCTACCTTACAACGGCATCAGGTCGACTTGTACTAGCATCGGCCAGCAACAAGGTACAACACACCACACAACAGTACTACAAAACACACCGAAGTACATATGTTCAAGATCTAAGGGCAAGGCAGCCGCTTCAGAAGAGACTTTTGGCCTAGAGCACACCCGAGATTACCCATATGTATCTACCCACGTGCCAAAACAACTCGCTCACACACCCCAACAAACAGACAGATAGTTCTGTGCAACCACAGTAGCCATGGTACACGCTGTGTACGCTCGAACAATCCACCTACCTCTGTGGCTGTCAGGCGTTGCTTCGGGTCGGCCGCCAGCAGTTTGCTCACAAGGTCTTTGGCCTCGTCACTCACATTGTCCCAATACGGCGAGAGGAATTCAAACTTACCACGCATGATCAAACGCATCAGCACCATACGGTTGCTATGCCAGAAGGGCGGGAACCCTACAAGCAGCGTGTACAGGATCACCCCACAGCCCCACATATCCACGGGGAAGGAGTACCCCTGAAATATAATACAGATAGATAAGTATATGAAGTTAGATTACACGCACGCAGCCCAAGGCCGTATGCATATTCCGTGTGTACGAAGATGGATATTTTAGCGGGGACCAATAAAAGCTGAGCGATTAAACTTGCCACGAAACCGCTAGATGATTAGAAATGAAGTGATCCAGCAAGTAACAGAGGATGGGAAGTGGCTGGGGGATATTCAAAAGACTCACTCAATGCGTGCATGAGCTA